AAATGTATTTAACTACTGTGACAAAGTCTACAGTTACTCAGACTCTCATTACCAAACTGTTGTGGAAGGCAAACTAATAAATAATATGAAAAGCAATCTAACCAAGTTGGGCAAATGTACAAAAACACACACAGTTGTTCACTGTTCAAGCTGGGCAGGAAGCTCACCTATCCAAACACTGAATGGCTATTTCCAGAGTTCACTAACCCCTTCTGCTTTTCTCTATCAAGCCAACTGGATTTTGAGCATCCCATCCAAATGATGGTTAGCGTTCTGCCAAAGCAGCTGGAAAAGCCTGGCAGCTGCAACCAAAATGATGGAGCATTTGGGAGATTTCCCAACCAGAGTCAGGTCATCCAACAGCAGCAATGTGACAATAACCTTAGTCAATCCAGAGGAAACCAAATAACTGCAGCGATACGTCCAAGTGGATCAAATTATACTACTCAATTCTACTTTTGTGTTACTTCTGCAACGTCTCCAAGCAGCACTTATCTTATTTTGTATGTCAGCCCACTGCCAATTGTGCATCTGCTGTAGTACAAGGCGTTGTATATCCTGACTTTTATTACAATCACACATTCTATGTTGATGTCCTTCAGCTGCCAATCACCAATTAGAGCACACATTCAGACAAACAGACTGTTTTGCAGCCAGGGGGCGAGCCAATGAATCATTAGCAGACAGTAGTGGTGGTGTCATTGAGAATTTGCAGAAGCAGGTTGAATATGTATATGAGAAAATACTTTTAAATCACACAGATGAAAAATCATAGCATTTGATTTTATGCTGATTTGTAGTATAAGGAAAAGCAAAGTGAATAAATATGATTGAGCGACAGCAAACTAAGGAAGTGACATGCTTTCAAATAACATTTACTCCGTGATTTATTATTTAATATGTCATACAAACCGGACAATCATATGTTGCTAAAAATTAAAGGTTAAAAAGGGTTGAATTTGTCGATTTCCTCAAGATTTGTCATGAGGCATACAACACAAAATATAGGACTTATATTATGTTAATAAGTGTATACAATAAACCTGTATTAATGTATTTCATGTGCTTTGAAATAAGGGCTTACTTGGTCATTTGAAGTGCTAAAATATCAGTATTCAGAGCTGTATTCCAAAATTAATTCAACACAAAAAAGAGGAATAAAATGCCTTAAAATGAGCTTGATTTGCTGCAGATTTGACTGATTATAAGGCATTAGCATGACGAAAATGATACCACAACTTGTATCTGGCTGTAAAGTGACAACACTGAATAATCACTCCATCATAATAGCCGCTAAACATTCATGAGAGCACACATTTAGCAGGAGCTCTTTTTGAAATGTCTGCCACATTCAGGCTGAACCTTTGTTGCATTTCTTCCAATGTGAGAAAGTGCTGAATATGTCATGTAAATCAAGGGAAGGTGTTTCCACCACAGCTTTGAATAGACACAACCGTTTTGAGGAAGGTGTGATGTCCCAATGTAAGGCTTGTGGTTGGTGCACTTCCCATCGGTTGGATCATGAGAGGATACCTGGGGCCTCCATCTTATGCAATTACACCACAAACCACATCAAAATTAGACTACACATTGGACTACATGTGTTACATTTAGGGGGCTTAATCTTATAGTTCGGTAAGTTAAAGAAATCAAGTTTGGTGGTTGTCTTAACCACCAAACTTTATTACTTATGCTGATCAATATTAAAAGTACAAATGGTAATAGCATTAATTAAATCGCATTTGCTCGTTGCCATTTAATTACAGTTTTACTTGTCTGAATGAATACAGTAACTCTCTGTGTTTTGTTATTTGTTGAATGTTATAAGTCTATCATAAGAATGTAAAAAGTATAGGACTTATATTATGTTGATATTAAGTGTATATGATAAACCTGTATTAAATGTATTTACACACCTTGAAATAAGCGCTTACTTTAATCATTTGAAGTACAAAGATCTCAGTATTCAGAGCTGTATTCCAAAATGAATTCAACACACAAAAGAGGAATAAAGTGAACTTGATTTGCTGCAGATTTGACTGATTGCAAAGCATTAGCATGACGAAAATTATAACTTAGATTCAAATAAAAAAAAAATACATGTTTTTTTTAATGTTCTGCTAAAGTTGGATTCAGGCTGTGATTCTGTCAAAACAAATTATATTTCTTTTTTTAGAATAAATTATTTTTAAAAGAAGTTGACTTTATCCAATCTTGCAACAATACACATTGTTACAAGCTGGCTCTGCTTGTAACACAAGGACAATAGTTCCACACAGGAGTTGCCCAAAACAATCATTTATTATACCTAACAGTTTCTACAACCAACAATAAAACACACAGAAGAGCGGTGTCCTGCTGCACCGAGCAGGGCAGCTGAGAGAGAGCGAGAGCCTGTTCTGCAGCCCTCTTATATCCTGGAATCAAGTCCACAGGTGGGTCCCATCACTGCTGATTACAGTAAAAACACAGGTTACAGCAGCACCACCTGGTGGACAACCACAGGGTTGTCACACCCCCCACCCCATAAAAGAAGTGTCCCCAAGACACTGAAACATAGAAAACCAATAACAGAGCTTATACTTACAGCTAATACATGAAACAAAGCTTACCCTGGTGTAAATGTTACCCTAGTTTACCACTGCCTACTTTCCACATTCACCAACTCAGCAACCCGGCACCCTGGAAGCAATTAAAGAGCAGGAAAACGCTGGAAAAAAGATGTGAAAACAAGAACAAAACCCCCTTAAGGTACTGCTCTCGACAAAGCATCAGCCATCACATTTTCGGAACCTTTGAGATGTCGGATGTCCAAATGGAAAGGCTGTAGAAACAGGGACCATCTCATTAACCGCTGGTTTGGGTTCTGCAAAGACTGTAGAAAGGTCAGGGGATTGTGATCTGTGTATATCACTATTGGCCTATAACCACTCCCTATATACACTTCGAAGTGCTGCAATGCCCAGATCAATGCCAGTGCCTCCTTCTCTACAATCGAGTAGTTCAACTGGTAGGAGTTAAACTTGCGTGGGAGGTAACTGACCGGGAACTCCATACCAGAGGCATCTTGCTGTAATAACACGGCACCGGCACCCGTGTCACATGCATCCACTTTAAGATGAAAAGGTTCCTCAAGACGCGGGGCTCTCAGCACTGGAGCGCCCATTAGAAGATCCTTAACGTCCTTGAAAGCCTTCTGACACTGAACTGACCAGTTAAACTTCATCCTTGGACTTATCAGGTCAGTCAAGGGAGCAACAACCGAGGAGAAGTTTTCACAAAAACAACGGTAATAACCTACCATGCCAAGAAAACGAGCCAACTCCTTCCTGGTGGTAGGCGGAGGAAACCTCTCAACGGCTTCCACTTTTGCCCTTACTGGACGCACAGTACCCTGACCAACGACCTTACCCAGATATGTCACTGTTGCCTTAGCAAACTCACACTTGGCCAAGTTCACAGTGAGATTTTCCCAGACCAGGCGATCAAACAGGGCCTGGATGCGCTGTAGGTGTGTCACTGTACACCACCAAATCATCTAAATACACGGCACACCCTTGTAACCCTGAAACCACGCGGTTCATCAAGCGCTGGAATGTAGCCGTTGCGTTTCTAAGACCAAATGGCACGACCATGTAGGAGTATAACCATGTAGGCGTTATAAAGGATGCAATTTCCCAGGCCAGTGGGGTCAGTGGTACTTGCCAGTAACCTTTAAGAAGATCAAACTTGCTTACAAACTTAGCTGTGCCAACTTGATCCACACAATCCTCCATCCGAGGTAAGGGAAAACTATCTGGCTTGGTTACAGCATTTACCTTGCGAAAATCAGTACAGGGTCTAAAAGTTCTGTCAGGTTTAGTCACTAACAAACATGGTGAGGCCCAGCTAGAATGTGAGGGTTCTGCAATGCCATTATCTAGCATGTATGCAACCTCTGACTCTAACTGCTCACGTTTTTCAGGGGAGTTTCTGTAAAACGCTGTTTTATGGGCGTAACCTCTCCCACATCAATGTCATGTTCCACCAGATGCGTCCGTGAAGGAACATCTGAAAATAGGGTAGGATATGACCTGATAAGAGAGCACATATCATCGTGTCTAGACAGTGGCATATGTTCCAAGAACGTGTCCAGTTTACACAGGGACTCTGAATTATTCAACCGACCTTGTGTTCTACAGTCAAGTTCATCAACCTCGGTTTTTACACGCCGCTGGGATGAGACACCACGCAGGTCCATCAGTATAGGCTTAATAACAGTAGAGGTGCGGTCTATCCTTCTCCAGGTGGGTCAACACGGTGTATTTAGACAATTTCGGGATAAAGAGAGCACAACAAAAGCCCCTTCGCTTCATCTTCACATTTGGCCGTCGACACCCGTCAAAGGAAATTTGCACGTCCCAGAGATNCACCTGAACATCAGCAGGAGAGGACTCTTTAAAGTAGAGACACTACATACTGATATACACCTGAACATCAGCAGGAGAGGACTCTTTAAAGTAGAGACACTACATACTGATATACACCTGAACATCAGCAGGAGAGGACTCTTTAAAGTAGAGACACTACATACTGATATACACCTGAACATCAGCAGGAGAGGACTCTTTAAAGTAGAGACACTACATACTGATATACACCTGAACAAATAAGCCTAATAAGTCCTCAGGAATCTTGCCTCGATAAAGTACAAAATGTACACCTCTGTTTCACAGCAGGAACTTTTTATAGAAACCAGCAAGTTTACTACTTTTCCAATAAGGACTTTTCAACATCTGTTTTGCAAAGATTATGCCTCAGATGAGCATTCTCAGTCCTCCTGAACAACACTTTTTTTTCAGCACAGCAATAAAATAACTGTGTTTATTTGTGGCACCACATATCACTTGACATGTGCACGTTTGCCCCGGAGCCTGGTGGAACTGAAAGCGGTCTGAAGTCACATCTGTGTGTCAGTGAGTGTGTCGCTGATCACAGAGACCAGACACATATTTACACAGGTTGACTGGGGAGAGCACGAGATAAGCAGCAGCTTCCTCACCTGCATGTTTTCCTCCTCCAGGACGGGGGACTTCTTGGGGAAGATCTGATTGGCCTGGATGCACTCCAAGCTCTGCTGGCCCTCCTCCTCCTGCAGGGGAAACACCCGTTAACCCTTTACTGAGTCAGCTTTAACAACCTTCTTTCACTCATCTCCTTTCTTTAGTTTCACTGTGGCATTTCAAACATTGTTCCAGGGGGTATTTCCTCATTCATCGCCCTGCCTCCATCTCGTGCACCAACAGCTTTGACCACTTTGCTGCTCTGTAGAAACATGTGAAAAATCCTCACAGAAGAACATCTTAAAAGTGTTTTTATGTGGAAAGTTTGGGTGTAAAACAGGTGTTACTCCTCGTTAGTCCCGACTCCGATTGATTGGCTTTTAAATGAATCTAGAAATGGCAAACCTTGTTGTGACAGAGCGTTGATTTAAAACCATTTTGACGATGCTGCTTTGTGTGGCTGTCCTCTCCTGCCCACCCACACTGTAATGTGCAACCCAGGCTAATTGACTATAATCACCCCTTGCACAACAAACCATGGAATACCACACGCCAAAAACCCTCCTAAGCTACACATAGACATGCATTCACACAAGTCTGTGAAGCAAGGAGAGTCTGAATATGATTTATGCTCCGAGAAATTACGTTTTTTATGTAAGGCAGTGTTCATCAGCGGGCTTTCATGAAGGCTTGAGGTCACAGTTTTCTTATGCAACACTGGGGATGTCTATCAGCGGGGAATGTGAGGCATGGATATACAAGCCGAGTCAAAAGAGAACCGGTGGAAGAAAAGAGAAAACGTCTGGCCATGTGCCGACAGACATCGACAAGAATCTGAGCTGAGTTTGGTCCCAACATTGTGCAGAGAAAGATTAAAGGGATGGGAGATAACGGACAGCGAGGGCACATCATGCAGGATGCTGGCTCAGCACCAGGGGCTGAGAGCATCCGAGTGTATTTACTCAAGTGCTGTACTTATAGAGCGCATGTTCTACTTTCCTGTAGTGTGTTCTATAGGTTTTAGTGCATGTAAATGGTCTGCAAAGGCTGAAATCCCTGTGTTCCCTCCAGAGGAACTTTCTCTCACACACACTCCCCTGTTTTTGTGTTAAACACAGTCTATGGTTAAACATCTCACAGTGCAAGCTTTTCAAAGTAATTATTTAATGTATTTTCATTAATTGGGAGTTGTTTTCNTACACACACACACACACACACACACACACACACACACACACACACACACACACACACACACACACACACACACACACACACACACACACACACCAGTTAAAAGACTGAAGAACAGATGAGTGTCCCATGCAGTCACAGAGAAACGACTACACAAAATGCTTAAAAAATACTTCTTGACCTTTTTAAGAGCAGTTTGTTTATATTTTGAGGCAGATAAATGTCCGTTTAGGAAAAAGGAGCTGTGGTAAACTCCACAGTTAAACACAGACAGGAGGAAGTAGCATCTACTGACCAGAAGGTGGTGCTAGAGAACAGTATAATATTTGCTTTGAGAATTCACAAATGTGACCGTAAGTTGACATAAGTCTACATGTTGATGGACACCAATACGATATGATAATATGCTGGAGTCCCAGTGGAGCAAAGTACGTATAATTATTCCTCTGTTGCACATTATGGTTTAACCCTGGGTGTGTACAGAAAATGATATCTGAGCTTCACTCTTCTTACAACAATCAATCATAAAACAAACGGATGAGATTTCCAACACTGAGTTTAACCCACCGTCTCCTAAATGAACTCTATGCAAGTTCACAGAACTCATTATATACTCAGGTAAGGACTCGTAAGAAACAGCTACATCAAAACATACTTTGTGACATTTTAAGAGAAGTTTATTTTCATTTTGATGCAGAGAAATGTTGGTTTTAGTAACACCATAACTCATGAGTTAACAGTAGCATCTTAATACGATTAAACATGTACCAAACTGATGAGAAGAATTCAACGAAATACCCAACATAAGTAGTCAGTATTAAAAACAGAGTGTAACCCATTGTCCTTTTAAATGACCTCTATGTGAGTTTACAGAACAGTAGGGAACACCTACATAAAACGCATCAAAACAAACACCGTCATGACCTGTGGTAGATAGCTAAACATAGACATCTAAAAGACGATCAAACATTACCTAACAGATGAGAAGATTTCAAAGAACCACCGACAGTCAGTATTAAAACCACACATACAGAACTCAATGTTTTCTGCTGAAGTGTAAGAAACACCTACATAAAATGCATCAAAACATACTTCTTGAAATGATAAGAGCAGTTTGTTTTCATTTCGATGCAGAGAAATGACCCCATGGTAGACCCATAGGTAAACATAGACGGGAGGAAGTAGCATCTAAAGATTATCAAGCTGATGAGATATCAAAGTAACGAGTCAGTATTAAAACCACACAGTCCCTCAAAGGACTTCATGTAGTTTAATGAACTCTATATATTCTGCTGAAGCGTAATGAAGCCCCACTCCGGCGTACAGAGGCTCAGTGAAGGCTGTCTGGACTTTGTGGACCGGGATCATTTTTCCATCGATGATGCTGTAGTAGATCAGAACACCTGCACTGTGATCCAGGTAAACTCCTATCCTGGAGGAGAGAGGACCTGAGACGGCAGTGGATTCCCCTTTGTGCCATAAGGCGAAATAGATAGTGCCACAATGCAATGACCACGACTTGTCGCTGTGTCCGAACGCAGCCGGATCCTGGTGCCCTTTCCTCTCGTTGCTCTTGTAAGCGAGGCTGAAGCACACCTGAAGGCCTTTCCACTCCATCTCCAGGTAACAGCGTCCAGTCAGAGCCTCTCCGCTCAGGGCCTGGGTGTGAACATCGAATCTGTCGGGGTGACGGAAGTACATCTGCTGTCGCTCCGTGGCTGTTGCCTTTCTGTTCCCTTCAGATAACAACAGCCGTCTGTTGGCTGTGTTTGGATCCAGAGTGATAACACGGGACAATTGGATGAACTCAGCCCTGGATCTGGGCTCTGGTTTGGGCAGTAACATGTCCACTTCACTCAAAGCCAGAGCGATTCCAGACCAACCCTCCTTCACAATGTCCAGAAGTTTATTCAGGTCTTTTGTCACGGATGCTGTCACTTCTTCAAAGTATCCCAGAGGGCGGGGTTTGATGCTGGACGTGTCTGTAGATCCACTGAGAGGTGGCAGGGAGTCGTAGATTTGTTGAAGTTGGTTGAGATCCTCTTCCTGTGAGAGTTTTTTCAGCTCAGCGTCTCTGCTCTTCAGCTCAGAGATCTCCTTCTCCAGCTTCTTCTGAAAAGCTCTGACCTGATTTCCTTCAGTTTCCTGTTGGACTCTGATCCGCTCCTTCATAATAGATCTCATGGTCACCATCGCTGTGAGCAACTCTGTATATTTTTCCTCACTGTGCTCCACTGCTTTATTAGCAGAACAGTTGATAGCCTTCTCTTCCTCTTCAAGCAGCTTCACATATTTCTCTCTGTCCTGGATCCTCTTCTGAATGTTCAGTCGACTCACCTCCAGCTCTTTCTGTGTTTCAGTCCTCTCAACATCCAGGAGTCCAGTCTTCTTCAGCCGCTCCAGCAGGAATGCTAACATGGTGTCTTTAACCAGGTCAGGTCTGGGTGTGAAGGCCTTCCTACACTGAGGACAGCTCTCCTTTTTATTCTGTTTCTCTCCATCCCAGTAGTTTTTAATGCAGCCCATGCAGTAGCTGTGTCCACACGGAATAGTGACCGGGTCCTTCATCACATCCAGACATATCGAACAGGAAATGGAGTCCAGGTCCAGCTGAGCTCCTTTCTGAGACATTTCTCCTCGTTGTAGTCACTGAGAGAGAGTTTCTGAGATCAGAGATGTAGTGTGCTCTGACTCAAAACAAACACGGGGCCTTTGCTTCCCTCTCATTGGCTGATTACACCAATGGGTGTTCAGAGCGAGAGGAAGAGGGCGGAGTTATCAAACGTGTATGCGTTTCAGACATGGAGGTTTCAGAAGGCCTTCTCTTAAAGGGGAGAAGAGAAGATGAGAGAAGATAAAATACTCTACTGATCCACATTTGGGATTTGTTTTCGTAACAGTAGCATAGATAAGACATTGCACACACATTTGAAGTAAATAAAAAAATAATGCAATTGGCCCTTATAGTGTATATTTGATAGACAGACAGTGATTATTTTTTGGAAAGCAGTGTTGTCAAGCCTTACACATGTTGGCACATTTTTATAGCAGTTCCTCTGAAAAACAAACTTAAAGTGGCTTTTTATATGCTTTTAAATTGCCAGTAACAATAATACAGGGATTTTTGCCAGGTTGTGGAAAAATCAAGTTCATAATAAGGCGAAATGTGAAATGGGACATGGAGTTCTTGTATTATACAGAAACATTACAAACCAAAACACGAACCAAAAAGCCCTAAAACTAAACTATTCTAACCATAAGTACCACACGGTCTTGTTACATATTTGTGAAATCAGCGTAGACATTGGTATAGAATAAGTTAGATATATTAAACACAGGCACATTGTAACATAATGTCATATATATATATATATGATTTACATACAGAGTAAAGTAGAAGCCATTTAACAGACTCAATCTCTGACATATTTGCCTACCCAGTGTTTACTTTGCAAAACCTGACATACATAAAGACAATTTGTTTGTTTGACGAAGTGTTATCATCCCATTGGGACCTCTGCAGACCACACTGATAATGGAACATTACATTTTGCATCTTCTACTCTAAAATGTTAAGTTTGAGAGTGGTGTTTTTTGGTAGGTTGCAAAAAAAATAAAAGGAAAGGCTACAGACTTAAACATTCATATCAATTTACACACACTAACTGTAGAAGCACCTGGTGTACTCATCTCCCATTGATTGAGTAACAGCTGTTTGTGCAGACAGTGTGAAGCTTCTCTCCAACAGCCCATTAACGTCAGTCTCCAGAATAAAGACAGTCATCACTGGAGTCAGGACTGTCCCATTGTCTTCCAAAATAACTGCAGATTTATTTCAGATTTCCTACAAGTCGTTATTGGTGCTTCAGGTTTGCATTTGGTGATCAATCTGAGACCCTTTGAGACAGAAGAGGAGTCGTTTACTGAGAACTGTGCTGGAGTTTCTTTAGAGAGTCGTTCAGTGTCTCTCACTGCCTCGCTAAACCTGTTATTTGAATATTTGAAACTTGTCCCCACTTTCCAAACTCTTCTACCTTTTCCAACTTTATTTATCTGAGCTGTGAACCAAGGATGGTTTTTAGGCATTTGAATAAATAAATACAACTCTTCACTTTAAATCTTTCAATCTGTTGGTGCTTTGTGCTGATATTTATTGTTATATATTGACAAAACTGCAAAGTCAAATGCCCGTGTTATCAGCTAGTTTGAATGACTTTGTATACTGCAGGGTAGCTTGTGAATTTACTCCAGGTGGAACTAAAGTCTGATTTAACAGTTGAATATATTTCACATCAATAATCCAGATATGTAAAGTCACTACTACTACTACTACTACTACTACTACTACTACTACTACTACTAGGCCTACTACTACTACAGTACAGTTGAGTAAAAGTAAACAATNTGTTTAACACAAAAACAGGGGAGTGTGTGTGAGAGAAAGTTCCTCTGGAGGGAACACAGGGATTTCAGCCTTTGCAGACCATTTACATGCACTAAAAGGTTTTAGTGCATGTAAATGGTCTGCAAAGGCTGAAATCCCTGTGTTCCCTCCAGAGGAACTTTCTCTCACACACACTCCCCTGTTTTTGTGTTAAACACAGTCTATGGTTAAACATCTCACAGTGCAAGCTTTTCAAATGGGAAGATTTGCGGGTTTTCAATGTAATTATTTAATGTATTTTCATTAATTGGGAGTTGTTTTCGACAATAGGTACTTATACTTCTAAGTACATGTTCCTAAGCACATAGTACCATTCTCAATGCAGTACTTTGACTTGTATTGGGAGTATTTTACAGTGTGTAATTAGTACTTTTACTTAAGTGAGGAATCTGAGAACTTCCACTGTTCAGCACAAAGGTCATAGCAAGGACACACACACACACACACACACACACACACACACACACACACACACACACACACACACACACACACACACACACACACACACACACACACACACACACACACACACACACACACACTTCTGCAGTTAGCAATAAAAGCTGAGACAGCAGCCGGGGACGACCTTTGACCCCGATGCAGCTGATTAGACCGTCTGCTTCCTGGTAAACAGCGCTGATTTAAAAAAGGGAAAATCAATGGGGAGTTTCTCATTCTGCAGAACGCAGCGCAGACCCCCGGACACACAGCAGTCACTGTTTCAAAAGCAGGCATGAGGGGAAGGTGCTTTACCATGGCGCCGGTGAAGGAGTGGGTCAACCAACGAGGAACGGCCGGGACCAGTCTGCACGAGAGCAACATAGAGAGGTTATTCTGCCAGCAAAACATGTCAATAATACAGGATATTGTGCACACATTGCGTTATGTGTGAGGAAAGCAACATCAGGCGTGACTTGAACACTGCTTTCCTAACTTTGTAATGCAACATCTAACGAATAACGACATAGAAATAGCATAGAAAGACAGATATAAGTGCATTTTAACAGCATAAATATGAAGCTTAAATTACTTTAATGTTTATATCACTGTTTAAGGAAAACGTTATTTAGTTTACCTGAGCTTGAGGCAGTGACCACAAAATGCAATGTCCCTGATTCAATGTATTCCCAATCTCTCTCTCCTCTCATTCCCTGTAGTTTCTCTCATGTAAACTCTTATTTAAAGGCATGACATGCACTAAATATATGTTTATCTCATAAACAATGTACTGTATAGTATGTTGGAAAATATTTTGAAAAAAAAGTCATGGTACAGTTTGTCAAACATATGAAAAAAGTAATAGTAGAAGTAGCTGTTGAATATTTTATACATAGTAGACATGTTGGAAAAGTTTGAAAAGACTTAAAAGGGTTAGTAGTGCGTGAGATTACTAAATTATACACAAATCAAAAATAACAAAGTAGTTGTTCCACAATGTTTATCATCATGAAATTAATATCTATATATGTTATACTATACTTGCACTGCTTACCGTTTTCATACAATGTAATGACAGTGTTGTTTTTTCATATGCTTTAGCAGTTGCCCCAAAGGAGACACATGTTGAGTCTCAGATTACATTATTTATCCTGGGGTTTTGAGACAGTTAGTCCATATTAGATTAAGAGTAATAAAAGATAAACAAAAACAATCAAATAAAAAGGTAAAAAAAAGTGTGAAACAATATTAATTCAACACATAAGAATGTGCAATAAAATGACACATCTAAATAGGATGAAGATATGTAAATAAGGAAAAGCACACTACCCAATAAAACAAATGTATATATAGAATAAAAACGTTAATATAAACACAGATGTTTATACTCTGAATGGACTCACTGCCCTGACGGGAGAAACCAAACCACCACCTGTCCTTTCACTCACTAGCGATGCCTCTGGTAGATTGACTGAGGCTGCAGATGTTCAAATGACTCAGAAGAAAGGCTTTGCTATGCAGGGAGGGTCTGGGATGTTGTTCACAGGCATGTGTAAATACTTTCTCAGGGGTCTGGGCAAAGAATTGATCAGAGCCCGAGGTCGACAGGAGGAGGCGAGCCCCTATAGGCAGGACAGTAAGTTCAAACCGCTCAATAGAAAATCTATTTGTATGAAATGGCACTCAAAGGGGGCGGGGCTTGGCTAGCAGTGGCAGGATGTCGGGCTTCAGTAAGTCATATGATAAGTTGTTTAAAATGTAGTAAAGTTTTTGTTTGTTTGTTTTTTGTTATGCAAGCATGAGTGGGGATGAAATCTAACTGAATGACAACCAGCTCTGCATTAACTCTAATGTGTTTATCTTTTCTTTCCCTCATCTTTTGTTTTTATGTATGGAGAAAGTGCCTTTTCGGTGTCATTTTGAAATCTTGAACGTAATGTAATTAAACCCCCTACTCATCCAGTAAAGATACAATTATACTAGGGCTGCTCAATTAACCGTATTTTAATCGCAATTACGATTTTGGCTTGCAACGATTATGAAAACAACATAATCGAAATTTTTAAAAAAATGGTATTATTGGTTTTTCAGTTGAATAATACTTGAAGTTCAGAGTAATCAATGTTAAAAACATACTGTTCACATTTTTTTTCATTCAATAAATGGATGTTTTCAAAGTAAATGGATAATCGTGATATTAATTATTGACCCAAATAATCGAGATTATGATTTTTGCCATAATCGAGCAGCCCTAAATTATACACACAAATTAAATGGAGTAAAGCACTGGTGGGCACATTTAAAGAAGCAGCGAATAAAACCAGTAATGTAATATATATCTGTAGACTCACCAGACAATCGGTAACGGACAGTGAGCAGTCCTGATGATCCTGTTTGGAAACTCTTACACGTAAGACATGGAAATCTGTGGAGACGAAGGAAGACAAACAAATTATTTTCCTAACAAAGTTGCAAACAGCAGATTTTTTCAGTGAAGAAAAGTCAAGCCACAGAAGCTCTTTTCATTCCCTCGTAAATATAGCTGTGCTGGTGGTCAGAGTGGCGTGCATGTGAGGGAAGAGATACCACTTACACTCAGCTGTGGGATGGAAAGAAAGCCATCTGGATCCTAAAGCACTAACTGTGGTCTAACCAGCACACAGGCCGGCCTATGAACTGACCATGTAACTTCCACAAGCAGGAATAAACAAGAACACTTGATCCATGCATAATATTATTTTACCCCCTGCAGTCACATCTGGAGGTCAACACCAGCTAATGAAAGGTATTGGGGACGTACTTCTTTTTTTATAAATATAGCCTCCTGTGGTTAAAGCTAGCCCCAGATGATTTGGAAAAGATTAGTTACTTTATGAGAAACTGTACTCAACAAAACTGTTATTAAGTCTGGAGTTATTTGATAAGAGATGGTGGCCGTTTCTCAATCTCGAGGATACTGGCTTCCAAGCCAATATTTCAAGGATGCTACGTCATCAAGTGGCCCAGCGGGACCGTTCCAATCTCCAGCATACTTGGAATTCCACCGAGGCCGCATCCTTGGTTTGGGGGAAATTTCGAGGCTGCACATTGGTAGACTTCGCGTCCTTAAAATCCCCACAATGCTTTGCGCACGGACCAATTTCCCCAGATCTATGGCGGAAAATGTAAGACGGGGCACACACCTGCACACTTGCTAGCCTGTTCCACTCTTCGTTTTCCGAATGCCAGGAAGGATTCTTGCCTAGCTTCTGAAGGAAGTGACTCGGAAGACATGTGCTACCAAGCAAGCAACCTCGAGATTGAGAAACGGCCTGTGTGTTTGCGTGTGGGGAGTGTTGCAGTAGAACATTCCCCAGAAACACCCAGTGTTTCTGCCAGACCAGGGCTGAGAGGGCGTCCACTGAGAGGGGGGGGTGTGACGTCACGTTGTGTCACGAAACTTGCATTTTGAATTGAGTCGTCCCTTATAGATACTATCGCTCGCCGACAGTACACTTTCCGTTAGGCCTGCTCAATTAATCGTATTTTAATCGCGATTACCATTATGGCTTCCAACGATTACGAAAACAACGTAATGGAAATACAACGATTATTTTTTTATTACTTTTTTTTTTTTTTTGGTTTTTCAAAATCAATGAATAATTGCATTTAATAATCGCAATTACAATTATTGACCGAAATAATCGAGCAGCCCTACTTTCCGTCACAGGAACACCACGCTTTGCTGGCAGTGAAAAGAATCCCACCAGACTCCTTTGCCCCTCCAACAGAGGGATGTCCTTTTTCCTTTTCGTCATTTCAAGCTATAATTTTTTTGACGTCAAATGACGGCAAGACGGCCCCCAGGCGGAAACGCTGATAAGAGACTTTATCTGTATTGTGTTTATTAAGGTCTGTATAATGTTGTTTGCAGTGTGTTCAGATACTTCGCCTCAAACTAAAACATTGCATTTAATGGGATTCAATTCTTGCCCTCGTCCATATTATTCAATAACATTTTCCTTAATGGTACAGCCCTATTTGAACCATCCAAAAACAGCTGGTCAAGCACACAGACTTGGCACAGCCCAACTCTTCACAGCACTTGGCTGCTGCCTGGTATTGATTTGTTGTGTCCAGTGTACAGTAGAAATAACTGGGGAACCGAAAAGGAGCAACTTGTTTGATCAGGTAATGGCAGACCCCTCTCATGGTATTGTAAAGGCCGCCTGTTAGGCATCTCTCTCTGCATTCCGGCCCACAAAGGGTTGTAAAGGTCAGCTACTCTTGCAGAGACTGAAATCTGATCTGAGGTCAGTGAATGGGGAGCACGGGACCTTAGCACACTTTCTCAGGAGCAGATATAAAGGGTAGAAACAAGAGCAGAACCCCCATTGCATTTACCCTCTTGTCCTGTTCGTTTCCCCCCCCCCCCCCACTTTGGTGTTTCTTCCAAATTTGACCGTTCTGTTTTGACTCATTACCAACATTGTATTTAACTCCCTTTTAAGCAGCAGACTATATTTCAGACGGTCGGTTCACATGAATCATTTATTTATTTCCACTTTTTAATTTCAGAAATATTTTGGATTGTTTATTTTATTTATCCATCTATCTATCTATCCATCTATCCATCCATCCATCTAAATATCCATCCATCTATCAATCAATCAATCTATCTATATATCCATCTATCTATCCATCTATCTATCTATCCATCTATCCATCCATCTATCTAAATATCCATCCATCTATCTAAATATCCATCCATCTATCTATCTATCTATCTATCCATCCATCTATCTATCTATAACTGCAGTGAATTTACAAGAAGAGAAACTGAAAATGAATTCCAAAAACAACATGGTTGTCTATTTGTGGGTGTGTACTATCTGATGGATGGAAATAAACCCATTCACTTCCTATGGTGGTGAATATAGGTGTTACAAAGTTGACTAAACCACTCAAAATGAAAGTGGTGATCAGAAATGTTATATGTTCAAAGGCCTACTGTGGAGGACATCATAAGGCCTTGAGGCAATAACATGTCAAACACAATATACTGTATGATTGGTGAAAGTAGTAAAGCGGTCCGATATAAACCGAAGACACCAGGAGGGTTAAAGGCACACCGACAAAATACAAAACTAAAATGTTTTAACATGAATAAAAACAGGATCATATATTTACTATAATAATACAATACTGCATAACAAGGAGTTTTACTTTTGATATTTTGAAGTACATTTAGCTGATAATACTTCTGTACTTTGTATTATTCTGAAATGGGACAGTGTGCATTATGAGTTTATTTTGATGCTGTTACTTTTGCACTTTTACTTAAGTAACATTTTGAAATCAGGACTTTTACTTGTAGTCAATTGCTGGACTCAGACACTCAAATCCAGCGCCAGACACTTGTTACTGTATATTTCCCAAGGACATTGAAGTGATTGTTATTTTGTATATATTGATTGTTGTGCTTTTATTTATGTCTTAATGTATGTACATGTGTCTGTTGATTGTGTATATATAGGATATACATGTTTATATATTTTTGTATTAGGGATTGTGAGTAACGGTATTTTGATCTCTCTGTCTGTACACACAAACTGAAAGATCGACAATAATTCTTACTTTGACTTGTTGAGTATTTTAAGAGTATTTTGACAAGACAGCAGGGTTAAAGGCACATGAGGACCTGAACACTGCCTGGTCATTGAGAGTGGTGTGAGGCTGCCAGATGGGGGGAGGTCATCATAACTTGGCTGACGTAGGAGTCCAGCCTTTACTGCCGGTGCCACCTGATAAAGCATATCTGCCACACACACAGGGCTCTGTTTACAGCTCAGTCGGGTCTGAGTTCAGAGAGGAAGGCTAAGCCCCTTAGAGCCTTAACGTTGCTCCTGTCCCGTGACACGCTGCAGCGCAACACAGCAAACTGCATCCATCCGCTAACTCATGTTATTAAAGTTGAAAAGAAAACGCTGACTGAGGCGATAAAGTACATCGAGTGACAGTTACTTTACATGGACGGTGTCAGGATGAAAATGATCAAAACAACAGCGGTAAAAGAGATGAACTCAAACATGTCGGCTAGATTTGTGTCATAAAAACAATATTCAACTGGATTCAAATGAGCGGTTCAATTGCTAGGTTAAATATTAACGTTATTTCAAGCTGTGACGGGAAATAACTAAGTATATTTACTCAAGTATTGTTCTTAAGTACTATTTTGACGTATACAGTATGTATTTTACTTGAGTATTTCCACTTAAAGCTACTTTATACTTCTACTCCACTACATTTCAGAAGTAAATATTGTTCCTTTTATTCCACTACATTCATTTAACACTCACACTTACTTTGTAAATATAAAAGCACATGATATGCTGATGTGGAATACTGAAGTACTTATCTAAAACAATATTTCAAGTATACATTTTATATTTAGAAACTACAATACTAAAATGTATAAAAACAGGATAATATATTAACCACAATAATACAATACTGTTAAGGAGTTTTACTTGTGATATTTGAAGTACATTTAGCTGATAATACTTTTGTATTGTGCAGAACTGCAAAGGCCATGCATTGTGCATTATGAGTACATTTTGATGGTGTTACTTTGTACTTTTACTAATGTAACGTTTTGAAATCATGACTTTAACTTGTAGGGGAGCATTTTAAGACCATAGTATTTGTACTTTTACTTAAGTAAAGGATCTGAGTCCATTTCCAACAATGCACAAACATCCGCCGGCATAATAAGAACTGCACAAAAGCAACATAAATACTAACGTTATTTGAAGTAAATGTACAAAGTAGCATTAAAAGTCCCTAAAAATTGTACTCAAGTAAAGTACTTGAGTAGATACTAAAATACTACTTACTTTCCTCCACTGTTTATTGACACATAAAAGCCAGTAGCTAACGTTATTTAAATAATAATTTAGATTAGATATCTACCTATGTCAATAGATAGAAGTAGAGCTAGCGGAAAACAGCATACCTGCTGCCCTGACTTCTCAGTGGGTAAGGTTAGCTTTAGGATGGATTTTTCTGGAGCTAACGTCAATAGTTAGCTAAATAGTTAAAAGTATTGCTAGCAAGCTAACGCTGAAAAACTGAATATGAACATCGCAATTAGCCAATTTTAACATTTACTAAAAAGTTAATGATATGTTGTCTTTTAATCGTATATTACTGTAAAGTGTTTTCCAGTAGTCGCTGAAGCACAGAGCAGCCAGTAAACTGCCCGGCTACCTATTAGCATGCTAAGCTACCAACTGTTTTTGTTGTTATGAGATAGAGGGCGGAACCCAACACGAAGGCCTTCTGTCAAAACAAACCGAGGAGAGAGAACAACCGGCGGATAACTCACCAGCTGCAGGACCGATGAGAAGCCAAAGGTTCACCCGAAACCCGTGCAGTTAGTAAGCAGCAAGTAAACGTCGATCAAATAGGCATTAGTCATAATATCCGAGCCGAGGCCATCTCTTCTGCATCCCTCTCCAGCTCCGAGCCTTCGACGCCATCAAAGTCTCCAACCCAACAACTTACGTGGTGACGTCATCGCGTCAGAACCACGTCTCAGGCCAAGAGGGGCGGGGCTTAGGCTTAAACACACGCCATGCGGTGCCATCATGTAAACACTGGGACTGATGAGGGAGTGGAAAACTAAAAGTATTATTAGGGGAAATGAAAAAAGCGACATTATTGCAGGAAAGTTTGTCTCTGCCTGCCACAACATGAGAGAATCAGACTGACCTGATACACCAGGTCCCACATCTCAGGTCTTTTATTATTATCTTCATATTAATGTATGTATTTTTGACTATCAGCATTATCCTGCACAACAATCAACAACTCACATAACTCTTTTTAAACTAATTCATTGTTTTTATTTAATTAATTCTTCCTTTGATGACTAAGAAAACGTGTTTTTCTTGCATTTGTTCACAATATTGATGAATTTAATATTATATTTCAAATGTGTATTTAGATGACACAATTGTACAAAGCTTTGGCCGATGCTGTATGTCTTTATGGTCACGCTAATAAAGCTATTTGAATTGAATTGAATAACCAGATCTTGTACTTGAGTAAAAGTAGAAGCACTCAGATCTTGTACTTGAGTAAAAGTAGAAGTACTCAGATCTTGTACTTGAGTAAAAGTAGAAGTACTCAGATCTTGTTCTTGAGTAAAAGTAGAAGTACTCAGATCTTGTTCTTGAGTAAAAGTAGAAGTACTCAGATCTTGTTCTTGAGTAAAAGTAGAAGTACTCAGATCTTGTACTTGAGTAAAAGTAGAAGTACTCAGATCTTGTACTTGGGTAAAAGTAGAAGTACACAGATCTTGTACTTGAGTTCAAGTAGATGTACTCAGATCGTTTACTTAGAAAGATATCGCATAAATATGTGAAATATGTCTAAAGATGTTTATTTGGAATATTATCTTGAAGTAAAAAGTTAAGTTGAGATGTAAATATATTTAAAGATGACAACATGGGAATTGAAAAGTAAAGTGCAAGTATGTATATCACATGTATAATTAGGACAGTATTTATGATCCACGTCACGTATTCAGTTTCGGCGGCAGTTCTTCCTGTGTGTCTAGAAGTCTTCTCAGCAGGGCTCTATAAATAGAGAACTACGGCAGATATGTAATATTCAATGCAGCCGAACCGTGTATTACAATGCCGTTAGATGATGACTTTCAAAGAGAAAAGCAAGCACACTCAGGATGAAGTATTATTATAATTTTTTTTAATGTTTTCGGATTTCACATGGCATAAACACCATTTCCCAGCATGCATTGCGGCTAAAACATCCAAATCACCGAGCTGAGGATATTGCCTACGTCTGTTTCCGGTATTTGTTAATGACGATGTGATGTGAGATGTGAGACTGGAATTGCACAGGGGAACATAACGTACCTATGCCACAATTTTAGATGCGGATTTTGTTAAACTAATACGTTTGTGCTGTGGA